GCGCCGCGCCGCCGTGGGGGCTCCCGCCCGGCGCCGCGGGTGCTCTCCGCCCCGCTCCGGTTCCCTCCGACTGTTCGCCCCCATTGTGTGCCGTGGGTTGGGCCGCCGGGCCTGCTGGGCCGCTGGACCGGGTGGTTCCGGCCCTGGCGTGTTCCCGGGGCCCGCCCGGCCCCGCCGCTGCCGGCGGTAACAATGGGGGCCGCACTGCCCCGCTACCGCCGTGCTCTCGGGGCTGTTCGCGTGCGACCGGGCCCGCCTCCGGCACCTTTTCTTCGGCAGCGCCTTGGGGGCCGTTGCCGGCGGCAGCCCCTCGGTGTGGGGCGGGCCTCCGCCGCCCGCCTGAAGCTCCTGGGCGATGCCGGTTCGGTGGCCTTGGAGCAGCCCCGGCCCGTGAGCGTGTGGCCCCCTCGAGGTGCCGTGCACGGCGTTTGCCTCCATGCCGGTTCGGGGTGCTCTTCCCGATAAAGCGCTGCACATTGATGCCTAACTGGGGCCTCTGATAGCGTGTGCGGGGGCATCGCCCCAAAATCTCGTACTCTGCGCGCACGGGAGTTATTCGGTTTGCAGCCGCGATGGGTTCACCCCAGAGGAAAACTCATAACGCTGATAAACCAGCCCCCCCACATCGTGCTCCTTCGGGTGCTTGTTCTGCCTCACGTTGCAGGAAAGCCTTTCCAAATGCTTTGCCCTCTGTGGTCCTTTCCTTTGGAGCTTCAGAGTCTTTTGCATGTGTTAATTAAGCTGTGTTGGAGGGGGATGGAAATGCCAATTTTCTGTATTGACGGACAAGGGAAACTGAGGCTGGAATGTGCCGGGACTTGCCCAGCATCAGCCAGCAGGTCTGGCATAGCTGGGGATAGCGGATGTGACCGAGAGATCCTTGTTCTAAAACTGTAACTTACCTGAAATTTTTAATAAAATGAACAGTTTGTTATGTTTTTGTATCACCTCTTTTTCTGGAGACTTCGCATTTCGTGTATCTGAGGTTTTCTCCTTTCTAGGTATGGAAGGCAAGTAGCAGTGTAGCCTGAAAAGAAAAAGGGGTAAATGCAGAGTGTGTCACATTTACTTGCAGCTTCTTTGAAGAAAAGATGTTGTAAAGTGTAGCTGTGAAGCTGTTTCTTTTCTCTAAATCTTGTATGAATGCATTGCTTTCCTGTTGTTCTGAAATGTAAGCGCTGGTCCGGTTTAATGCTGTTTCTCTGGTGTGGATCAGCCACCGATTTGCTTTGGCTGGAGATGCCCTTTTTTATTGCATCCCTCATGGTGAATATATATGGGTTTGCTCTTTAAAAAAAAAAATAAACACATAAAACGCTTTCGATGAAGATTGTTTTGAACTGGTAAACTCATATTATCATCACTTCTGTGCGGGGCCAGTTCAAGTGTCGGGATAACCAAGATTTGCAGTTAAATGTTGCCCGTGAGCTGTACTGAAGTTACACGACTGAGGAGTAAATTAGCAGCAGCCAAGTCATCTTCCCTCAATGTAGCACATGGGGTGTTGCATGGGGACACCTGCTTACCCAATGGTCTCAGCAGGGTCAGGGCCTGGCTGATATTTCTATAATAGATGTTTTTCTTGTGGTTTTTTTGCATGTTAAAGAAAAAATAATCATGATTTAATCGTGGCAGAAATGCAGCTGGGCAGAGCGGAGCGTGGCAGCTGTTGAACAATGCCCAGCCACTGCACAAAGGTTTGGGGCAGCAGACTGCTGGAACTGTATCCTATTGAAATTGCAGATTAAGTTACTGCAAACGCGCAGGATTGCTTCCCTCTGGGCCTGCAGTTCTGCTGCCAAATTGGTTTAATGTGACAACTTGTTTGTGCGTGAAACACTTAGAACTGGAAGAGACGTAGTGGTGGAGAGCGAAAATAAATACTGTGGGGAAGAAGCCTGCATGGAGCATGGGAGGGATGGCTACGTAGCCCAGGAGGCTTTGTCTGCTCTGCCTTGGGTGAAGCCCAGGCTTGGTGCTCTCCCTTAAGTCTGCTCAGTGTCACATGCAACTTTGGGGGTCCTGGTGACCAGACAGGTAGCTTGGGATTGTTTCCTGATAAGAAACCTTGGCACTGTATATCTGGAAAACTGTGGTTTTAAGTTGCTGCGAGGCATGGGTAGCCCCGAAGGGCAAACTTGTGAGGTTTTGTGGGAAGCTGCGGGAGCAATTGCACTTGAAAACTTGCCTACAAAGGAGGGCTACATGCTGATGGGAGCAGGAGTGGTGGCATGTGCACTGAGCCACGGCGTGGAGGTGACATTAGGGTCTCCATGCTCTTGAGGAAAGATCTCCCACTCCAGCTGAGCACTCTGCTTGCGGACTTGAACAAGAGACTCCCCAGTTGTTACCAGGCTGTTTGCTAACACTGCTTCTGAGCTTTCCCTGCTTTGCACGCCAGGTCTTGCTCTGTGCTGCCACGTTGATGTTCGCAAGCAACGTTTCGGATCATGTCCTGCAGGCCGGATTTTCTTGCTCGGGTTTCCTCCCTGCTCTTATGTTCTGTATGTGGCTCCTTCCCCTGTCCCAACCATCTGCCTGCAGCACCGGCACCTGGAGCAGACCCTGCTGCTTTGGAGGAGGGTGTTGCAGTCTTGTTAATGAAACAAAAAAATGTGAAGTTTGCAATTATTGAGATTTCAGGGGCTTGGAAGTAGCAAGTCCTGCCAAGTGCCATGGGATATGTCTGGCATCCCTTGTGCCTGGGAGACGATAGACAGGGTAAAACTCCTCAGTGCTGATCGTATTCTAACCGTCTGGGTTGGACTCTTCCCCTGAAGAGAAATGTGAGGTTATAAAACTCCAATTCCTTTGAACACTCCATGGGCTGAGCTCTTGCTGGGTTTTGCTTTAAGAAGTTACCTAACAACGTTACTGGCTGTTATTCCTTGTTGACATCTAGTTCACTTTTTTGGTAGTTTTTTAATCCAGAATACTCAGTTCAAGAAAACTTAATGTTGCCAGTTCTGGGGAATAACTGAAGCAAGCAAAAATGGGCAGTTATACAAGGGTGGTATTTTTTTACAACAATACCCATAAAACTGTAGCACCACTTATTAGTGGAGCATTTTTGCTTCCCCTGCCCTGCTTTGAAGGCAAGAAGGGAGAAGGGGAAGTAGCTGATGTGTCTGAGGCTCTGAGATGTTCTGCTCTCCAAATGAAGTTTCTTTAGAGCTTTTTTCAAGCATTCCTTGTTCCAGTTGATCGCTGTAGCCTCTTACAGCCCTGGTCATGGCAAATCCTTCCCTGCTCACACACTTGTGTTTTAGCAGCAAGTCATTAAACCCTTTACCCAAAGTACTTCTGCTCCTGTGTCCTGATTGCTCCCACCTGGATGCAGGTGATGTTTCATTTGGAGCATCCTGCTGTGGTAGTGGTGGAGAAACCTCAAGAAGTACAAGTCTTGGGAGCATGTGGAAATGGTAGACTGGCCTGCTATGGCTTTGGGGGAAGCAGTGGGGAGGGCGGGGGCCTGCAACGGCTTTGCTGGCTGCCTTGCCCATGCAATCATTCAGTCTTGTCACTGCCTTTTGTTTTTGGTTTCTAACAGTCTGTTCTCTCTTCTCCCCTGACCCACCACAGAGTTCTACCTTGTAAATACTGTTATTTGTATATACTGTAAATGATGACATCGGTGGGCACTAACCGAGCCCGGGGGAACTGGGAGCAGACACAGACACAGAGCCAGACACAGCACAAGCAGCGGCCGCAGGTAAGGGCAGCGTCCATGGAAACCAGTTAGCTTGGAGGTGGAGACCTGGCACTCCTGCCTGGCCCAGCGCTAACAGCTGGGCTTGGCCTAACGAACTTCCTGAGTGCTGCAGGGTGCTGCTTGCAGAGCCAGGTTAATTGGGCGGCCACTGATGGTGGGGTTTCTGCATCGGTGTCTCCGCAGTAGCCGGGGCTGAAATTTGGTTTTACTTCCATCTGACCATTACCTGTTCACTTTAATGAATGCAAGTGGCTGAGAAGCCACCTGCAGTGGGTTCTGGTGTTCTAGTGGTGGCAAGATCTGCCTCAAAGTGGACATAGTTTAGGTGATTGTTGCTCACCTGGTGCCGTGAGGCCATCCAGCAATATGTCCCTTTCTTCCAGACTCCCCTCACTTGCTCCTCTTCTATCTGACTTTCTCTCTGAAGCTTTCCTCTTTCTGACCCTTGTTTGCGACTCCTCTTCATCATATTGATTCATTTCCAGAGATCTCAGGGAAGCGGTATGGCCTTTGGAGGAAGGTTTGTTGGAAATGCGCCACTCTAACTGCGTGCTCTCTCTACATTCAATTTGTTTAGGCTACTGCGGAACAGATTCGACTTGCACAGATGATTTCGGACCACAATGACGCTGACTTTGAGGAGAAGGTGAAACAAGTGAGTACAGAAAGTGAGGGTGAACCCTGACAGGAAGACAAGATTGATGTTGAGAGTACCCTGAATGCTGGGTGGGGTGGGGGGAGGGATGTGGCTGGCTGCTCCCTGAATTTCCTTGGACTGGCTTGTTCCCCAGAATGCAGGGAACAGTGTTATCCTGAGAAAAGGATGTTAAAGGTTGGGTTGTGATGAAACAACAGAAACTCAGAAATTCCCAGCCTCAGTTACTTCTGGTGAGGAGTCATAATTAAGCTGAGAAGGCTGGGGAGACTCCCAAACCCTGATACTTCTTTGTAGGATTTCTGGTTTGGGATTCAACTTGCTTGCCTCCTAAGAGATCCATAGAGATTTTGGTGCCTTCTTGGTTTGGAACATGCTGACCATGGTGTTGTCTTCTCTATAGCTGATTGACATCACAGGCAAGAACCAGGATGAGTGTGTGATTGCTCTGCATGACTGCAATGGAGATGTTAACAGAGCCATCAACGTGCTGCTGGAGGGCAATCCGGACACGGTAGGATTGGGTCCTGTAACTCTGGTGAGGCCTAGTTCAGTGTAACTGCATATTTGGAGACAAGACATACAGTAATGTCTAGCTAACGAGAGCCAAAATGACTGACTAGTTCCACAAGTAGCATATAGAGTGTGATTGTGTCCTGGCTTCTTAACATTGCTCTCTGTAGGCTTGCACAGAATGCGAGCGTGGCCAGCAGGCCCAAAGGAATAGAGGGGAAAGTGCAATAAATCATTTAGTTCCTATTCCTTTGAATTCCGAGCACTCTGATGACAGTACAGTGGCATCTGTATAAGCTTTCACACTGCTGTGAGTGTGAAGTACCTTATCTTTTCCCACGAGGGCTGAGTGACCCGTGTTGAAAGGCAGGTGTGTGTCAGCTGTGGTTTCTTTCTGTTAGAGCAATGCAGTGTTTATGGCCCTAAATACTTGCTTCTCAGCGATGCACTGACTGGCTTTTGTGCCGCTGCCCGTGTCACATTTTTGAGGGTCTATTTGCTGTTTGTTTTCTGTGGACTTAGGCTCAACTCCTATCACTTGTGCAGGTGTCTGTCTCAGGCAAGCCAAAATCAGCTCTGAGAACAAGTGAACACTTGCTTAGGTGGACCTTCCACCTCGTGTGTGGGATGTCATTCATTTTGTGACAGACAGCAGAGACGCAACTTTGCCCAGTAAAAAGCCTACAAATATCAGATCCTTCCAAACTGCCACTGACCAAACATCTTCCCAGCACCCTGGTCTGGCTGAAGCTGACTCAGCTCTTTGTAGAGTTGAGGCTCCAAATGTCACTTCAGAATATTATGTATTAGCTCATTTTTTTCCTCATTATTAGCCCTGAGCATAGATGGATGAACTGGACACCTCAGACTGTATTCTGTGTAACGTAGCTGCTCCCCAGTGTCAGGTGCTTTGCTAGCTTTGGCACCAGCCAAGTTCAGTACAACGCACATAAGCGTTCTTCCTTGCCATTAGAGAGCCCTTTCCATTGACAACTGAACAAAATAGCTGTTGGAAAATCCTTTTAGAAAGGGGGATGATAGGAATGTGCATTGCTGAGGCAAAGCTCTGCTGTGACTGTATTTGCCTCCACATCCCTTGTAACTGGTGGCTTCTAGTTAAACGACAAACCCCTGTAATCACAATTGCATTTCCTAGATAAACACATTGCTCATGAAAATAGCATCCAGGATTGTGTGCAGCAAACTGCATTATGTAGCAGTACCTCCTTTATTTGAGCAGCTGAAACACCCAGCAACGTGAGATACGCAAGGCAAGGCACGGCTACTGTGGAAGATTTGTAGAGGCAGAAACAGAGTTGGCAGAGCAAAGCCCTCGAGTGCCTGCCACTTCTCCAGCCTGCAGTGCCATGGGGGGCCTGTGAGCTGGTACCTGCATCACTGAGCAGAGGCAGCATCTGCACTGTAATTGGTCAAAGGTCTTGGAGCTGCTTCTGGCCTGGATTCAGCTTGTGCAGCAATCCTGTAAAGGGGATTTTCTGATAAGAAATAGACTTGCTAATTGCTCAGGTACTCCCATGCTGATGAAGACAGCTCACCTGCTGAGCTAGTTACTCATAATGTACTGTATTTCAAACAGTAAAGGAGCTGGCATGATCTTAGCATTGGGTTAGACTTGGCTTAAAATTACAGTATTCAAAGCAAATGTTTTCCTAAATTTCCTTCTGAGCCAGATACCTATGGAGAGAGACTTCAGAAGCCTTGGGTTTGAAGGCAGTTTGTGCCTCTGTTTTTTTTGTCACTGTCCCTGCATGTTGCCATCTGAAACCAGCTGTTTACTTGTCTGCCAGTTATGTTTTCAGGTGTTTGTCAATGACTTGAGACTATTTTTAATTGTTCGAACAGTGTGCAGCATCAGAGTATGAAACCACTACAGACTGTCGTAAAGTACACCAATGCAGGCTGACAGCAATAAGCTAGAGGCGTGCTTAAGTTTTTAGTTGAGCTTGGGATGACTTGAACTTGCCTGTTGGATAAATTCTGTGTTACTCTTCTCCTTATGAGTCGCTATTTAGGGAAGAGGCTTTGTTAAATCACTGCATCTGAGAGAGTAACTTACCCCAAAATCTTGACTGCAGACACTTTGGAACATTTACCTGGGTTATTCTGAGAGCTCCCCAAAACAGCGACCTGTATGAAATGGGAGGGGGTTTTTTCCCCCTAAACAGGGTAAATTTATCCATGCTTTGAACTTGAGTAAGTATTATGCCCGCTCTACTTAAGAGGTTTAGTAGATCTTTGCAGAAATAGAATAAATCATCTCCTGTTACCTCAAACTGCATGCCAGTCAGCTGTAAGAAGGCTTTCCTTGAAGGAAGAAGCTGTACTGTGTGTAGGCTGATAGACTCTTCTTAAAAAAAAAAAAAAAAAAATGGGCTGGAAACCATTTTTCTGGAGACCGTTGCTATATTCTCTGTAGCATGTTTCAATATGTGTGTATTTGCATCTTGCATCGATCAAATTATGATTAACTTTTTTCCCTTCTGCAAACCTTCAGCATTCCTGGGAAATGGTTGGGAAGAAGAAGGGTGTCTCGGGACAGAAGGAGAGTGGACAGGCAGAACCCAGTGAAGAAAGCAAAGAAAACCGGGAGAGGGATCGGGATTTCAGCAGACGACGTGGCGGGCCACCGAGGCGGGGGCGAGGTGCCAGCCGTGGAAGAGAGTGTATGGACCTGCCCTTTAATAACACTCATAACTGTCATGGTGCATGCTGAGGCACTTCGTGCTGCATAAAAGTTGTCAGTAAAGCTTCTTGGGCAGACCCATCTTTGAGAAAAAACATCCTTGCGTGTGTGGCGATCTGATGCTCCCCTGTCTGAGGTGGTTCCTTGGGTGATACCCTCAATACCATCAACTTAAATAAAAGGAAGTTATGGGAGTGTTTGATGGTGTGGTCTCCCACACAGCCACTGTGCTTTAGTGTTTGAGGTCTGGTCTTGTATCCTCCCTAAAGCAGGATGAATCTTGAAATTGTGTTTGCATTGTTCTGTCTTTCAGTTCGGGGCCAGGAGAATGGACTAGATGGTGGTAAGAGTGGAGGATCTTCTGGAAGAGGCACAGAAAGAGGGAGGCGGGGACGTGGCCGAGGCCGAGGTACACATGGGGTTTTGAGGTCAGAGGGGGTGGGAGGAAAAAAATTACATCAGCGTATCTATCTCCTCCATGAGATTTGAAAGCCTCTTTTGTGGAGGAATTGCCAAACTGAAAATTAAGCACTTGATTTTTCTGTTCTTATGCTTACACTTAGTGCCTACATGTTGCTTCCCCATCTTAAGTGTGCTAGAAACAGTATCTCATTCTTACATCCCATCCATGAAGTTGGAAAAAAATAGGGCTTTAGAAGTGGGAAGTTGAAACTAAGGTGACTATTTGGCAGGTGGGCCAATTGCTTGTTAGCAACAGAATGCGGATCCTCCTCGTTCTTGCACATGGGTCTCTGAGCACCATTGCTGTGAAAATGCTTGGCTTGGTTTTTAAATACTCAGTGGCAGAAATTCATTTTTCCACAAAATTTGTGCTGCTTGGGAATTGTTGCTGAGGGCATACACTGCAGAAATCAGAACCTGGTGTCTGGTACTTATGGTTTGTGCCAGCAGGAGACCTCATCTGAGCCTGGAATCATGCATTGTTGATTATACTGCCAGCCAGCTGAGGTCATTCCCATACATATAAAGATGCTGCTGGAAGTCCCATCAACTCAGGAAGATCCTCACCACTTTCATATTCTGGGCATCAGAACTCCATATGTTGTTCAAATGTTTCTTTTCCTGGTGATGCAGAGCCAAGAGAGATGCTCAGCAGTGCGTGTGTGTATATTTTATAGGTGGCTCTGGAAGGCGAGGGGGAAGATTTTCTGCCCAAGGCATGGGGTAAGTTTCACTGGTGCAAACCACTGCAAAAATTAAAAGTCTTTGTGCACGAATAGTACTGTTTGTGTCATTTTTGTTCTGTTTTTCCTTTTTTTGTTAATAAAGCCAAAACTGCATCATGCTAACTTAAATCTGGAATGGCTGGTGTCACTCAGGCATACCTCTGCTGAGTCTTTTGAGACTCTTTGAGATGTGTTATGGTCTGAATAAAACCAGTTGCTTTGAAAATGCTTAGGGAGAGGGAGTAAAAATTTCCATCCTTATATTTCTTACAGAACTTTCAACCCAGCTGACTATGCTGAGCCAGCCGGCACGGATGAGAACTACGGGAATAGCAACAACAACACATGGAACAACACTGGCAGTTTTGAGCCAGATGATGGCACAAGTAAGTGGTCTTCATGCGCATTTGCTGTTTTCTATTTAGAGGGTAAGTGGATTTTGTGTCCATCCAGTTGCACCGAGGAGGTTCTGGGTAGGTTTTTGGCTCAGGGATGGAGGAATGGGTTGTTGGCTCAGAGATGGATTTCAGTGACCCTGTTTCTTTGCACCTGGAGGTGCCTTTGCATCAGTTAGGGTGACCACATTGGAAACTGGGAGCTGGATGATTGTTCTGGTCTGAGCTTGTGCGTGCTGTTGCCCAACAGAGGCATGGTAACAGTTGCCTCCTCTTGTTTTCCAGTAGAAACCATGCTGCCTCTTTGGAAGAGTCTTTTTTATAAACTGTAGCGTGTTAAACACATTCAAGTTCTCTCAATATTTGGTGCATCCTCCAGAGAACATCACTTGGAGTTCAGATGTCTTGCTCTTGGTATGGGGAGCATTCAGTCTTTCATGGTCATCTTGCTCAAACTGCTGTAGAATGAGACCTTATTACAGAAAGCTCACTGAAAAGAAGTCTTCATTGCTTCCTTGTTGAAGCAAACGTTTTCTTCACTGGGCAGTTCGTGAATACTGATCTGCCCTTGCATGTTCTCTTGCATTGGAAAAATGGTACTTTTTTTTTTGTTTCAAGTATGCACACTATTGTAAGACACAAGTGAACTCAGATTTTGCAGTGTGATAACTGGACAGAGTCACAAGGGACAATCCTTAATCGTAAGTAGTCTATTTGTGTGGGTTTTTTAAGAGTGGTTGTGGGGCGTTTTTTTGTGGAGCAATCTTGCACCACTGTGAAGTCAAACCATTTTTCCCTGATTTTTGAGCATTCAAGTAAATACCGCGTCTTGGTTATAAGAAGCATTCACAACAGTATTAATGTTGCTTTAGGCCACTTCCATATTTCTTGTATTTGCTGAAAAACTGATAGCTTTGGTAAGAGAGAGATAAAGTACTGTAAACTGTGACACCTTTTCCTATGCGTTGTTAGTGCAAGGGTTATTTGGTTGGTTTGTGTTCTAGTGTGTTTTTGTTTGGGGGTTTTCTGTTTGTTTGTTTTTTGTTTTTTTCTAAAAAACAGCTGTTTTGAAAGGGGAAAAATAAGCATGGCTTTGTAAAACACTAGCAGATTGATCATCTTGCTGACTGAGAAATGGAGTTTTAAATACTGGAGAGAGTAGTGTAGGCATGTGTTGAGGGCAGTGGGTACACTTGTCTCTGGAGGAAAAAGGGATGGGAGTGGATGAGCTCTGTGTGCTGGAAGCTTAACTGCCTAGTCTGAACAGGCTTGTGTGTTTGGGTTTGGTTTTTTTTTCTGTGTTGGTGTTTTGTAGAATTGTGGAACAAAGTGGTTTAGAGTGGTTGGGAGGAATTAAAGATTTTTCTGATGGAACAACTCAAATCTGCTCTAGTACTACAACACAGCTGTAAAGTTTATCATGCAACTATGCTGTTCACCTGTTTCATGTGTGGTCGTTTTGTTTCCATTTTAGTAGCTGCAGGTGTCTCTTTAAATTAACAATATCCACAGGTACAATGTGACTGGTGTACATGGGGGCAGTGAAACTTGCCTTCACTTCTTTAAATCAAAATTTCACTGGTTGTCTTTCTTTTCTTCTTTTTTTTGTTTTTTTTTTTTTGTTTTGTTTTGTTTTTGTGTTGTTTTTTTTTTTGTTTCAGGACTTGATTTCATTGGGGGTGAGGGGTCAAATTATCCCCGAAAATTTGACACTGCTCCTGGTACGAAACATCCAGGTGCATTAACTACCCCGGATACCTTTACTTTATAGCTTTTTAAAAAAAAACAAACCTGAAATATCTGTGGATGTGTCATTCTTCTCTCTCTTAATTTGTTAATTTTAATGACTATTTTACACTTGTTCTGACTGTGCTTTTACTAATGCTGACACCTTGAATGTAAATTGGGAGAGGTTAACCCAAATTCTTGTGGATTATGTAAATTTTAACTTCAGCCACTGCTTCTCAGCACCCAGAGCAGCTCTGTGTCCACAGCACTGATGACAGAGTCTCCCATCCAAGGGCAGGAACTGCGAGGCAGCTTAGTTGTATTCTGCTTGTCTCACATCCAGAAAGCTGTGACTTGCTGTTGTCCCTGTGCCATTTCCCTGGTGTGGCAGTTCAGTTCTGCAGCGATTACTTCACTGGCCTCGCCGCTATGTTTCTGCTTAGGGTCAAAACACTGCTGCAAGGGGAATTAGTCTTGCTAAGCTGTCTCAGTGCTTTGCCTCTGCTTACGGTTACCTCTTGATGCGCTTGATGGCTGCTTTGGCATGCTCTTGCTGCCTGGCTGCTCTTCTTCACCTGAGCAGACCTGCCCTGCAGTTGAAGATGACGGTGGATTTTGAGATGACCGGGGTGCTTGATGGCAAAGCTGCTCAGTGCCTGGCCACTTTATTTCCTGCTCTTACACCTTTATGCCTTATGAAGCCAAGAGACACCCATGAGATGATCCAGTTTGTCTTATATCTACTGAATCCCACTGGTGTCCATAACGACGTCAAAATTGTGTTTTACTAATGTCTTCATCTAACCTGAGGTCTGGAAGTCAAGGCAAAGGGTCCTTCTGGAGGAACTTGCCACTTTGCTCTTGAAGGTTAGGACAGGAGGAGGAGTGTTGAGGCTGTAGAGTCTCTTTTGCAGGGGCCCAGAAGCAGACATACTTGGAGTGCTTCTGTTGCTTTGGAGCATCTCCTGGTTCTCATCTCTGGGTTAATCTTTAACTCTCGCAGGCAGCACAAGGCCTCTGCTCCAGTGCTGCCATTGTGTTTTTGCCACACTTTGGCTTTGTTTGGATTAACATTCCTTTGAGGTGCAGACTGGGGGGATTTGGGTCTGTCACCCTTCCAGGCTGGTGCATGGAACATGTATCCAGTCATTGAGATAGTGGCAGACTATCTGATGAGCTGTGGGAGGAGCAAGCTGGTTGCTCATCTCCCAGTTTAAAATTAAAATATAGTGTATTGGGGAGGTAAAAAAAAAAATAATCTTGGAAGACACAATGGGATTTTTTTCTTCAGCACATTCATATTTGCAAATGCCTATTGACTTTTATTTTTTTTCCCCTTTTCCTGGTTTGAGGAGCTAAAGACCAGTGGCCCTTTGAAGGGCTTTCTTAAAGGAGAGAGGAGGGATTGTCATTCGGAAGACAACACTTCTGAAATGGTGATAGAAGTCTCAGGGCATTACTTGCATTGCAGCTCTTTCCTTTGGAAGAGCTTGATGGAGAGCGATACACTCGTTTTCTTTTAAAAAAACTAAACACGCTGTGCTGGTTAGGAAGCTTTCTGGAGCATTTCTGGCAAATGCCTGGCTGTACATTAATAGGTCTTTGGTTTTCCATTTGTCCCTTCATGTGTAAGGAGCACAAAGCCATGCTGAATAGGTGTCCATTACTCAAGAAGTAGACTTGCCAGGAATGCCCCATCAATGGCTGCTCTTCATCTGCAGGATTTCCTTCTGCTTTTTGTGCTGCTTTGCTTTTCTTCTCATTTCCCCCAAGTGAGCAAGACTAAGAGAGCCCTGTGCAGTGCTCCTACGTGCACAAACTCTTCTTGGGGCAACTCACCTGGCTTCCTGCTTTCCCCTGCTAACTGCCCAACTCACCCAAGCACCTCCAGCTCCCACTTCATCTCTTGAGTAAGGGTTGAGCTGGTAGAATCTTTATGATCTATGAAAATCTGGAAAGGAGCCTTCCTGCTACTGCTGTGAGGGCACCAAAAAAATCTAAGGAATGATGGAATCTGGGTTTTTAAACCCCAGATGTGTTTTGCATTGAATGTGTTGAACTCCTCCTGATGCTTCTGCCTGGGGAGGAAGGGGTAGTGTGCCTTGAGACTCCTGGTACTCAGGGAAGTTATGTTGTTTTAGTATCTGTATTTCTAACATGAATATTAAAAAAACCCAATAATAATAATCCAGGAACGCTTCTTGAATTGGCTCAACTTGTCAAGCAAAACAAAACACCCAACAAAATAACAATGAAAAAAGAATAATTAATGGATAATATACTTATTTCATGCACTAATTCCCCCACTTCTAGACAAGCAGTTGTTTAGATATTTTGGCCTGATAATTGAATTGTGTATGGGAATATCTGCTCTCTTCTTCCCCTCAAATTCTCAGCGAGCCTGATTGTGTCCTGCAGAAGAATCCACAATGTTCTCATTCCCTATGTGCTGTGGTTTTATGCTGTAAAAGGCTTTCAGCTTATAAAAGGGCTGATGCCAACTTGTTCCGTCCTTGTAAATGTCTCCAAGGTTAACTCTGGCTATGTCGGGTTTTGTTCACCTGGTTTGCATGGGCTGAAAACAAGCTGTACAAAACAGAGCTGCTTTTATGTTCTGAGGTTTTGGGGATGTAAAAAGCTCCTGCTTTCCCCCCACACCAAATTTTAAGTTGTCTAATGAATTCAGAAGTCACCACATAATATTCAAAGTACTGATGCTAAACTGTGATGGATGGAACAAGTTGAAGATGTGGCCAGCCAAAACTTCTCTTTCCAGTAATTTTGCTCTCATACAAATTGTGCTGTGCTGGATTGTGGCTGAAATCTTGTGCTTTTCTCCCTGATGTTTTAAGCTACTCACTTTGAGCATATCTCTGAAATTGGTCACAGAAAATGCAGGAATTGCTTAGTCCCTTAAATTTTCCTTTCTGATTCCCATTTTTGCCTATGCACAGGGGGTCCTGGTGCAGTGAGGTTTCACCATTTGGTGAGGGCGGGGGGTGCTGTGAGAGGAAGACAAACCATATGAATGGTTCAGCTGTCCCTGGGTTTTATAGAAACTTATGGTTTAACTGGGTGGTGAGGTCCTGCACAAGAGCTGGTGGGAAGCCCCCGAAGGAGGTGCTCTGTCCAAGCTGCTGGGGTAACACTAACTGCTCATGGGCGCAGAAACTTGCAGCTACTGCAATACAAGGGGAAATGAGGAATGTAGCACAAGGAGGCTGGGCACGATGCCAGGGCTTCCTTGCCAAGCTCAGCTTCCCTGTTTGGTGTTGGGGGGTGTGCATTGCCATAGCTGCCAGCCCAGTGGTCCCTCTCTTTCAGCCTATCCTGCCCAAGCAAGGCTGAGGTGATCCCATCATGGTACCTTGCCCATGAATCATGGGTTGGGGTCAACTGCTTTAACTTGTCTGGTTGGCAAATAGAAATCCTCTTGGCTGCTTGCAAAGCTCCCCAGTGCTTCCCTGGCTCTTGGAGGTAGAGCTTTGATGCACACTTAACTTCTCTACCTGTTGTTATCTTGTAGGTGCATGGAGGGCCGCAACAGAAGAATGGGGCACAGAGGACTGGAATGAAGATGTAGGTACTCGCCAAACACCTCTCCTCCATGTGTCCGCTGGCAGGCTGCTGTCCTGTTTGTACACACACAGCTATGAGAGGATCGCAAAACCTATCCTCTGCAAACTATGGGCATAGCCCAAGCCAGGCTCCCAATTCTAGGAGCTATGATGAATAAGTAAACATTGCTGTTTCTAAAGTACATGTGTAGTAGAGCTTGTCATAGAAGCCCAAGACAGGAAGGGATCTCCGAGGGCATCGAGTCTGGTCCTCTCATTTCCTGCAACTGCATGATTTAATTTTTCCATAAACTGGCCTGACTCCACACAAGATTCTTGCTCTGCTCCTCTGGTGGAATGGCGGTTTGGGAAGGTTTGCCTTTGATCCACACCACGTGCCACGGAGGAGGCAGCAGTGGTTTCGTACATGAGTCACGTGCCTCTGCTGGTCCTTGTGATTTGGATTGAACAGAAACTCTTGGCTTTACCTTCTGACTTGCTCTTTGGCATGTCCCGTGGCTTTTTGTTCTCTGCCTGGTGTGTCCTTCAGGGGAGAATGGATGCTGTTATCCCCTGCTTTTAATGCCTGTGTATCAGTTTCTTCTGAAATGGGCTTCAGTCCCTCTCTGAATCAAGGGAGAACTTCTGTTCTTGCAAATGGGAGCAGGGTTGGGCTTTTTTAGTATCATTGTTAGTTTTGCATGCTCATTTTTGCTAAGCCTACAGAATGGGCATGAAGGGAAAGCTTCTGCGTTCCAGGCACTGTCTGAAGGAAGCACTCCTGCTGTGTTTGGAGATGCAAGCAGCTTCTCTATCTGTTCAGTCAGGTCTCTGCTTGAAGAGAGCCTTTGATAGCCTTTCTTGCCTTCAGTGCGTGTGATATGCTCCCGGGGTTCCTGATTCTGTTTTTAAATTCTTGCAGTTTAGTTGCTGGCAGCTCCTTAGTCTGGAATAAAAGCTGTTCACATTCAGATATGTTCTGGGCTAAATCACAGGTGGTCATTAAACCTCCCCTTCATTCATTTTTGAGCAATGTTATTTTCCCTTCCATAGTTGAAGTAGGTCTGTTGGTCTCTGGTCAGGTCATCCAGGTGAAGCTAGGATCATTGGAAGCTTAACTATGTGTCTCAAGCTTTTTTTCTCTGACTTCTCTAGCAATGCTTGCGTGTACCTGTGCAGTGGGTTTTGCAGATCAGTGCTGCATACCATCAATTCAGAGCACCTGTCTTAAGACCCTAGCAGCCCTAGTGGATTTGTGGACTATGGGAGATTTGTAGAAGGATTTGGTTTTTTTTTTCCACTGGTAGGTGAGGTGATTTGTGCACTTGCCTGAGAACAAACAAATGAATTAAAAGCTGATTCTGATGGGAGCCAAATGTTAGAGGAGTTTAAGTCTAAACACTTGAATTTCTTGAATCTTTCTGTGGCTGTTTGTCTCAAACGTTTGTGTGTTTTACTTGGAGTACTGAGGGGCTGTTCTCACTTTTGGATTATTTTTCCCTTTTTTTTAATCTTTCAGCTGTCTGAGACAAAGATCTTCACCGCCTCTAATGTGTCTTCAGTGCCTCTGCCTGCCGAGAATGTGACAATCACAGCTGGACAGAGGTGAGAGCCCATGGCAATGCTGTTTATGTGGGAAAAGTGGTACACAAGTCCCAGAGCAATTTGCCATCTCAGACTAAATCTTGCCAGCTAGCTAAAATGCAGCAGCTCTGAATAAGATGAGATGGATTTAAATGGAAAAGTTGAGTTAGGAGTTTCCGGTCCTCATCCTGGATTAGAGTTTTCCTAGGCTCTGCTGCTGGTTCTTCAGATTTGGGGGCATTTTGCTGTGTTAAATTAATGGAAGACATGCTTTAAAATAGAAGGCCATGCAGGATCTTGCTTGGTCTGTGTCCTTTTGAAGTTGGTACTGGCAGTTGTGAGTTAATGTTCTGCAGATTCATTCAATTTATAAAGTAAAAGCTATAAATTGTGAGGCTGGACGTAGAATACCACTGGAAATGAGGGGTGTGACAGACCTCATGTTAACTTCAGTGGGTTATCTTCTTTCTTTATCCAGAATTGATCTTGCAGTCCTGCTAGGAAAGACGCCCTCTTCTATGGAGAATGAGTCAACAAACCTGGAGTCATCACAGGCTCCTTCTCTGGCCCAGCCACTGGTGTTCAGCAATTCCAAGCAAAGTGCTATATCCCAGCCTGCCTCTGGTAACTCCTTCTCTCACCACAGCATGGTAAGGAAATACCAGTCTCTGCCAGCGTTCGGGTTTTAGCAGGTGTTGGTTTCCCTGACATTCTCTGTCTGCTTTTGGGCAATATGGGAAATACAGTTCTGACACCTGCTTGCTTCTTGTGGGTGGCAAAGTCCTCTGCTTGGATGATTTGCCAGTCTGCTCTAAATCTAAAGGCATGAAGTCCATTGCTTAATTAGAAATAACTGGAATAATTCTTCCCCTGTTGCCCTTGTCAGACTTGCAACACTTGCTTCTTTCTTGCTCAGAGGAAAGAAAAAACTTGCAGTCCAGGGCTTGCATATTCAACCATTTGAGAAGTGGAACTTGTTGGGAGTTTGGTGTGGGATGAAATGCTGGCATTTACTGATACGTGAAGGAAGGAGGCACTGAATCTGAATCAGGGATGTGCACAGACCTGGGCAGATGCTTCTTTGTGGAACTTCAGTAAAAGAAATAAAAATTGTGCATTTAATGGTGAGATAGTTCAGGAAGGATTTCAAAACCACCTTAACTGTAAAGCCAAGTTCTTCTGATGGTTGTCTTTTTTTTAGTGCAACTGAATGAATGTGAACAATTTAGTACATTTTTAAAGATCCTATCTATTAACTTCTTTTGTAAGCCTCCATGACACTGTAAAATGCCATGGGTTGGGCAACAGATAAGTGTACTTGCACTAACATGTGAGGCTGTGAGAGAAGTATGAGCTCTCCTTGCCAGCAGTGTCTCTGTGCATCTGGAGCTCAAGAGTGTTAAGCTGAGGCACCCAGCGAGAAGCAGCAGGGTACAGTGCATTCAGGCTTATGTTAAGAGATGCATCTGTCCTCTGAGCCAAGTTCCAAGCCAAGGGAGATGTTGACTTTGTTATTTCATTGCTGAAATTGCAGGTGAGCATGCTGGGGAAAGGGTTTGGAGATGTTGGGGAGGCCAAAGGCAGCAGTACCACAGGTTCTCAGTTCCTGGAGCAGTTCAAGACAGCCCAGGCTCTGGCTCAGCTGGCTGCTCAGCACACCCAGCCTGGTGGGAGCACCACTGCTTCTTCTTGGGACATGGGATCCACTACGCAGACCTCGTCTCTTGTGCAGTATGGTAAGGAAAAGCAGCATGGCTCCCCAAAGGGAAGCGCGTTCTCCCAGAACCGCAGAAATGCGCCACAAGCAGCGGTGTGAGGGATTCAGTGCAGGGCCAGATCACAAGTTGTGCTGGAGCAATTAATCGTGTGTGCAAGTTTGAGAGTAAAATGTAATAGTGCATGTGAGTCTTCCCTTGTTCCTTTTATACTTAGAGCTGTTGAATCCATCTGCCTCCTGGTCATTCCAGTCAGCTTCAGGGCCAGGGATTTGGTGTTCCCGAGACCCTTATAGTGTGCAGAACTACTTCCTGGTGTAAAGCCGTGTAGCAGAGAAGGGGTCTGAAAGTGGGCACCTCTGGAAAATAGTTCCTGAATACCAACATTTGTCAGTCTTATCGCGCTGCTGACCTGATGTTATGTTTTAAAGGAATGCGATTCTGGTGACTGTTAAATACCAAGTAGTAACTCTACCTCTGGGCTGGCATGAGGGAATAAACAGTGATTAAGAGAGGCTTCTGCTTTTCAGATGAGGTGCTGAGCCCTGCTGTGGTTTCCCTTGCTATAGGGAAATGGCTCTGGTTCAAATCTAAGTGGAAGAAAAATCGAGCCCTGTCCTAGCAACAGTCAGTGTTGGCAGCTCCTGATCTCCACAGAGGAGAGTCAGAGAGAATAGGATTTGGTTTTTAATAAGCTGTGGTAAGGCTTAGGCGAAGGAGGAGGGTGGTGCAGTTGTGCAAAGATGTGAGGATGGGCAGCCCTGAGCAGCGGTGTTGCTTGGAGGATACCCAGTACTTGCAGGGGAAAGAGCAGGCAATGAAATGCAGCAGTGTTGGCAGAGAGGGGGAAGGAAGCAGCATCAGGCCTGTGTAGGACTCTGACATGCAGTGCCTCCACACAAGGGACTCTGAAGTCCAGCCTTCCTTGGAGGATGGAGGACTTCTGCAAGCTTGCTTTGTCCTGTAGAGGTGGTGGAAGGAGCTGAGGGCAGAAGGGTTTAAAAGGCTCGGTGTTGATGGTGGTGAGAGTGCAAGGCTGGGGGTGGAGATGCTGGGGTTCTCTGCTCTCTGATTTTAATGGGAGGAGGAGTCGTAGTGTGAAATTATTTTATTTTTCTTGATGCTTAGAAGTGTCAGAACTTGTTTTAGTTTGAAGGAAACAAATCCTGCTAATTCAACTCTGTCTCTCCTGGTAGATCTCAAGAACCCAACAGACTCTTCTGTTCATAGTCCCTTCACCAAGCGTCAGGCCTTCACATCGACTTCAACCATGATAGAAGTGTTCATGCAGGAGAAACAACCTGTGGTGACTGCCTCCACAACCGTGCCGGCACCCCCTTCCTCACCGCTGCCCAGCAAAACCAATCCTGTTCCCCAGATGTCCCCAGGGTCCTCGGACAACCAGTCCTCCAGTCCCCAGCCAGCACAGCAGAAGCTGAAGCAGCAAAAGAAAAAAGCATCGTTAACATCAAAGGTGCGGATCGATGGTGGGGAAGGAGGCATGGTATTGTGTTAGAGCTGCAGAAAAATCCATTTGGGCTGGTGAGGGAAGGGCTGGGCTTGGCCTTCCTGCTCTTAGCATTGGGTGTTTGTGGGGGTGACAGAAACGCTTGCCTGCCTGGGTTGAACAGTGTAATTCAGAGTATGGAAGCCTGTAACTACCGTCACGTGCTGGGAAATGTGGATACTAAAGTCATTTTCTGTGCTGATCCCAGGGAGTGGTTGACCCTTTCTGTTGTTCCTCCCTTGCAGATTCCTGCGCTTGCAGTGGAAATGCCTGGCTCAGCAGATATCTCAGGGCTAAACCTGCAGTTTGGGGCATTACAGTTTGGTTCGGAGCCTGTTCTTGCGGAGTACGAATCGACGCCCACAACAAGCACCGCTGTTAGCCAATCTCAAAGCAGCCTGTACACCAGCACGGCTAGGTGAGGACCAGGTGTGAGGAAGGGAACAGTTAATCTGAGCGGGTAGCTTTGGAAGGTAGCTGGTCCTGTGGACTTTAGTTATCCTGCATACTAGTAGACCCTTTCTGACTGTGCCATGGTCACAAAGGGGGGACAACGTATGCAACAGCAAAGTGTAAGTTGCCAGCAGACTCATTCAGGCAGCTCTATGACTGACTGGGCCTGTGGTACTTATACAGAAAACATATGTTTCCTGCTGCTGTTTAAACTGTTGCTGGAAACACAGGAGGGGAATCCCCAGTGCAACTGCCTCTTGTCCTTGGTGAACAGATTCTGTGTGCTTTGTCCTGCTTTTTGCCTGGCAAACTGGGATGCGGTGGAGTAGGTGTATCTACGATCATGATGCCTTGCCAAAGTGAAGTGTTTCTGTCTTCTGTCGGGCTGACCCTTAGTATCTGGCCAGTCCCTTGAGTGCTGGGACCTGAGCAGTGGCAGCTCATGAAATGTCACCTGGAACACAGCAGTGTGTTAGGCAAGGCTGCAGCTAGGTGCCAGCATCCTCCTGTGGTTGGGCTAGCCCTTGTCCGGGTATGTTTCTCTGCTTGGTTTGCTTGGCTGCTTTGTGTGGTGCCTTTATGCTGATGCTTGGGGCTCTTTATTTTGAAGACTTGAAACGAAGAGCCTACAGTCTGGGTCAGCAGCTTAGAGCAGGGCTGTTTTGGAGGAAAACGTAAACTTTTTTTTATTTTATTTTTTTTTCCCCTTTGTAGTGAATCTTCATCCACAATTTCGTCCAATCAAAGCCAGGAGTCTGGTTACCAGAGCGGCACAATACAGACAGCAACGTTTACCTCCCAGAACAGCACTCAGGGACCACTGTATGAACAGAGATCCACCCAGACGAGGCGATACCCAAATTCAATCTCTTCCTCGCCCCAGAAAGATCTGACCCAGGCCAAGGTAGGGAAATAGCTTTGCTCACCCTTTGTGCTGAGTAAGCATAGCATATGAAGCACTGTCTCGGGGGAAGCTAAGTGGTTTATCAAGTGTTTCTGTGATCCTCCAGCCTCACCATGTGGCTTGCAGACTCTCGTGAGAGCTTTCTTCTCGCTGCTACTAGAGTCCTTAGGTCCATTACTTACCTGGGGCTGGGCCAGTGGGGTTAACAGCAGTTAAGTTGATTGCAGGCCGTGTCATGTCATGCATAATTACCCTGCTGCAGAGTGGCATTCAGGCTAAGGATTTAGTTTTGTCTTAAGGATTCAATTCTTGCATGTTGCACACAAGTTCAGTAACATCAATTTTGGCTAACGAACTTGGGTTGAGGATGTTGAGCCAGTCTAACTACCAGCAGCAGAGAAACTTCTTGTACTGCTTTCTCAAATATGTGCTTGGGGGTCATGCTGGCACAGGGCTAGTTGAGCTTGGGACTGACCCTGCCACAGTCTGGTGATACGTGTTGGTAGCATGCCTTTTTTTTCACAACTGAGGGAGTGTGGGAGGGGGCTGACACTAGATCTGCCTCTGGAAACAAGCAGCTGCAATGCCCAGTACTCTTTTTCTCTTCTTCCTCAGAATGGTTTCAGTTCTGTGCAACCCACGCCATTACAAACCACACAGGCTGTTGAAGGTAAGAGTCTGTCAGTGCAGTGGGTGTCCTCAGTCCCTTGTACTGCTCGTATTCTTTGCTTTGGATGAAAAGCTTTACCTGCGCTAGAAGAAAGTCCTTTCCCTGCTGGGCTAATTGCTGCCACTCAGGTTATTTGCTTGCCTTGAAATGTTCAGCTTTCTGCTGATGGATACATGAGATCCTTGATGAGTCACTCCCTGATGACAGTAATTTACTCTGATTTGTTTGTGAAAGGCACCTCATCTGTAGGTCTTGAACCTCTTTGCAGAGCTGATAGTGGTGTTGGGGTGAATTCAGACACAGAACACAATCACACTGTCACAAGTGTGTAACTGGTTGGCAGCAGTGAGGGAAGCCCCAGATCTCCCTGCTCCTCTGTCTGAGCTTTTGTTGATCCTCACCACTGAATTGCCCTCCAGGAGCTTCTAGTAGCTGTCCCTAACCCAAAGCTTTTGTTTGCAGGTGCTACAGGCCCGGCAGTGAAATCCGATTCCCCCTCTGCTCCCAGTATCACGCCTCTCAATGATGGGGTATCTGCCTCGTCCTTGCTGACGACAGCCAGCCAACACTCGACAGCTCTGAGCAGCCTGAGCCACAGTGAGGAACTCCCTAGTACGACCACCACCCAACTCAGCAGGTGAGCAAGTGTGGTGGATGGATTTCTAGAGAAGCAGAACTAGAAGCCGGGATCTATAGTAGACATCAAAGTCTGTCTCATGCAGTGGGGAAGACTGAGATGACTCATCCTATCTGAGCAGATGGGGAATGGGAACTGCCCTGGTGCTACCAGTGGTGGCTCTCGCATCTTGGTTTGACAACCTTTTATTCCTCCTTCCGCAGTACATTACCCACCCAGCAGAACAGTCTGTCCTCATCCACATCCTCTGGGCGAACGTCAACCTCAACTCTTCTGGTGAGTCTAGGTGTGCTCTAGTGCTTCTGCAGCAGAATAAATCTCCCTGCTGCAAATGCAGTGTTCAGCCCTGCTTCTTCCAGCAGACAGACGTGTTGGGACACAGCCGCACAAGAGGCTTGGAAGCATTAGGGGTTGGCTGCTATCAGGACTTTGGACTTAAGCCAGATGCAAAGCAGGTTTCTTTGTAGCCTGCAGCAGCTGAGTTCATTGCAGGCTCTTGGGAACGGCCGGGTGCAGACAGAGCCGTGCAATATTTTATGTAGACACTGTCCTGCAATATTTCTGCACTCAATTACATCTGCCTGGTCCCCTAACTCTCTTCCCTTCCTTCCTTAGCACACAAGTGTGGAGAGTGAAGCAAGCCTCCATTCTTCTGCTAGCACTTTCTCCACCTCCTCCAGCACAGTGTCAGCCGCCCCACCAGTCGTAAGTGCTTCATCCAGTCTCAGCAGTGTCAGCAGCCTGGGCCTCAGCCTCAGTAGTAACTCCACGGTGACAGCCTCAACTCGCAGCTCCGTTGCAACAACATCAGGTACTTTCCTGGGTACTGCTAAACAGGAGGAGGGTGTGGGGGCTAAGAGAGACAGCTCCTGCTGTTTGCTTCACTGTGAATCTTTTGCTTTCTTTTCCTTTTTCAGGAAAAGCCCCTCCCAATCTCCCTCCTGGAGTCCCACCGTTGTTGCCTAATCCGTACATCATGGCTCCAGGCTTGCTACATGCCTATCCGGTGAGTAGGATGACTGGCTCTTTGCAGTCATGTTATGCCAGTAGATCACTCCTAGCTCTGTCTTCAGCTAGCAAGAAGGAAGGTAGTATAGTAGAGAAACCAAAAACCGTAACATTGGCTCAGTAGGACTGCATTGGATGGGAAGAGTTTGGACCTGCTGTTTTCCATAAAACAGTAGCAGAGGAAATCCATGTGCCCGTGGGGGTAAATGTCTGTAATTCTGGTCACCCCAGAGCAGATCCTGTCTGCCTGTTCTCTACAGCTTCCCCAGCCTTTGGGGAGCAACAGCCCTTGGTCAGAGCACAGCTTATGGAAGTGTGGAGCTATATTAGCAACATGGTATGACAAAGGCCAGTCAGAACAAGGGTGGCTACTGCCACAAAGTCTAGGGGTGTGTCACAGCCCTCTTCTGAAGGTGAGGACAGATTTCAGTGTTGGAATAATTTCTAGAGGAAAATCGTCAAGTGCGTTTGTAGTCTGGAACAGCAGTGCTACACGTTGGTGCTCAGTCTTCATTTGAGCAGCTCATAAACACTGCTGGCACTGTCAGTCTTACAGTAGTGAATGCTGGCTGCCCTTACCTAGGTAATTGTGTAGCCTCTGATTGTCTGCTTCTGGCTTTCTCTCACATTTATCTAAATGTTTAATCTAAATTAGGTAAGTGTCTTTACCTAGTCTGTGTCCCTAACATTATCTCCTGCTCTTTTTCTAGCCACAGGTGTATGGATATGATGACTTGCAAATGCTCCAGACGAGATTCCCTTTGGTGAGTACTGAAGACTGACATGGATCCACCACATCCATTGATCTAACAGCTCGCTGTTGCTGCATGCTTTGGGTGTACAGACAGGTCAGGCTGTGAGGTAGTCCTGAAGTGCTGGCAAAACAGGGTGCTAAATGGGTGCATCTCTCTGTGGCAGTAGTGAGGAGTTAATCTTGTGCTCCTTTGCACTTGGGGAGTTAGGAGCACTAGTTATTCAGACAGCGGTATCAATGGTGGGGCTAGGGAATGTGAGAGCTACAGCAGTCAGAGCTGTTTTGCCTGACAGTGGTGTGATGAGCTGCTGTAGATACTTGCCTCTGATCCTTGAAAGAGGCAGTGACTAAATACTTCATGAGAATGGGCTTTATTTAGGAATACTATGTGTCCCTTGTGAAGTGGAGGGGAAGGTCCAGGCAGTTTAAGGATTGCATACCAGTAGACCTTATCTGGTTCTTCCAATAGCCAGATGAGGGGGATGGTGCATGCTACAAAAACCTGGGATTGCTGTAGGCTGTGATCAGCCTCGATGTGGCTGATTGAACTGCAATGCTCCCAACATATCCAGCAGCTGCAGTCCAGAAATTCTTCTTTTCCAAAAGATACTGCTTTGCGTCTTTGGACAGAGCTCATAAAACTTCTTCTCCTTTTGTTTTTATTCTTCAGGATTACTACAGCATCCCATTCCCTACACCCACCACCCCGCTGACTGGAAGAGATGGCAGCCTGAGCAGCAATCCGTACTCTGGTAGGGAAAAAGACTGCTCTGATTGCATATCCCATCAGGTGTTCATGCTGCTCCTTACTAGTTTCCTGTGCCATTGTCCGCTGGAGCTATGTCTGCACCAGCCTCCTGCACTGGCTTTGGTCTAGAGCACGTTTCAGCAGCTAAATTCTTGACGTCTTTTTGATCATCTGGTCATGTCAAGGCATGTTACCAGGAAGATGTGGACAAGTAGGATTTAATGCGGCAGTTGGAAAGGGAGTGAGGAAGGGCTGAAGTAATCTGTGGGGTGTAAAACTGGGGAACTGCTTTTCAGGTCGTGGTGAGACAGGGGTTAAGCAGTGCTTCTCAAGCCCTTAGAGTAAAAATGCAAACACAAAATCTGGAGAAATTAAGGGCTTTTCTTAATCTATGCGACAGTCTCATGGAGGAAGAAAACAGGGTGTTTAGGACCTGTCAAAATCAAACCAAATGCTCAGTGGGTGGCTGATCTCACTGACCTTGGTAGGTGCTCTTAATCACACTGCTGATTTGCAGTGGGCAGTAGTTGTGCTGAGCTTTCATGTGCTTTAAGAATTGTTGCACTTTGTGGATCGCTCTTTTTCCAGCACCACTTCTCCCCTGCTACAGCAGGAGCTTTTTTGTGCGGAAGTGCTTTTGCCTGGCATACTGAGCCTGAAATCCCAAGCTTAGAGTGCAGCACTGCTGCATGCGTAGTTTGCCAAGTTAACATCGGTGATAATTGTTTGCGTCTATCCTGGACTCACTTGTGAGCTGGGGCAGCACTGTGAAATTCACTGGCTTACTGTGTGAGCTCTGAATAGGGAGCCTGTTTGCATGGAAGAGCAAAGCAGGTGCTCATAAAGAGCAGCAAAGGGAGCTTCCCCGAGCCCTGCAGCCAAGCCCTTGCACAGTGCCCAGACTGGGAAGAGAGAAGGCGATATTTCTGAGTACTCTCTGTGGGCTGCTGGGCCTCTGCAGCAGCGTTTGATTTGGTGCTGCCAGCAAGAGAGAGGGACATGTGTGAGCCCTGCTGTAAAAAGAGGCCATTCACACATCCTCAACTGGAAGAGATTTGACTCTCCTCTTCAATGAGCTGTTTGCTGGTAGGACAGGGCCCCCAGGCTGCTGCCCTGGGCTCAGGTCTGGCGCTGGAGAGAGTTGAGTTGTGTTCAGGCCTGCTGCTGATGCATGGAGGGAGCTTGGGGAGAGCTCTGTCATCTGGGCTCTGTTGCTGTGAAGGCAGCCAGCGGCATGTTTATCCAGTGCTGGATCGAACGCTGACATCAGGTAGTGCAGCACTGTAGCTTAGCTGCTGGGGGGTTTCCCTTCCCCTCTGAAGTCCTCCTCTCAGGGATGAGAAGAGCAATTAACAGCTTAGCCTTATCAGTGTTCAAGGGTCTGAGGGCTTGTGAGGGCTGTAGTTCTTAGTAGCTGTAGTAGGGGTGTTGGTCAAGTCACTGTTGATCAAAAGGCTGGGTCACCTTTGGGCTGAGCTAGAATGTGCCAGGATTTGACACTTATGTTCTTCAGTCTCCTTTCATCTCCTGTATTCCAGGTGACTTAACAAAATTTGGCCGAGGTGATGCCTCTTCTCCTGCTCCTGCAACGACTTTGGCCCAGCCTCAGCAGAGCCAGACCCAGACTCACCACACCACGCAGCAGACGTTCCTGAACCCAGCGCTGCCTCCTGGCTACAGTTACACCAGTCTGCCGTACTACACAGGGGTACCAGGGCTCCCCAGCACCTTCCAATACGGGCCCGCCGTGTTCCCTGTGAGTTTCCCAGAGGCAGGGCTTGGGATTCGGGCAGGAGGGTGTCCCAGTTTCAGCTGGGGATAGAGTTAATTGTCTTCCTAGTAGCTGGTACAGTGCTATGTTTTGAGTTCAGTGTGTGAAGAATGTTGATAACACTGATGTTTTCAGTTGTTGCTCAGTAGTGTTTAGTCTAAAGTCAAGGATTTTTCAGCTTCTCAATCCCAGCCAGCGAGAAAGCTGGAGGGGCACAAGAAGTTGGCACAGGACAGAGCCAGGGCAGCTGACCCAAACTGGCCAACGGGGTATTCCATACCATGTGATGTCACATCTAATATATAAACCAGGGAGAGTGGGGGCAGGGGGAATTGCTGCTCGGGGACTAACTGGGTGTCGATCGGCGGGTGGTGAGCAATTGCACTGTGCATCATTTGTACATTCCAATCCTTTTATCATTACTGTTGTCATTTTATTAGTGTTATCATTATCATTAGTAGTTTCTTCTTTTCTGTTCTATTAAACCGTTCTTATCTCAACCCACGAGTTTTACTTCTTTTCCTGATTTTCTCCCCCATCCCACTGGGTGGGGGGGAGTGAGTGAGCGGCTGTGTGGTGCTTAGTTGCTGGCTGGGGTTAAACCACGACAGAGGGCAAGGCAGCAAAGCCTCTCCTCACTCTGCTTCTCTCCTTTCTGTAGGTTGCTCCTACCTCTTCCAAGCAGCATGGTGTGAATGTCAGTGTCAACGCATCAGCAACCCCTTTTCAGCAGCCCAGCGGCTATGGCTCTCATGGATACAGCACTGGTAAGAGATCCAACAGAGCATCTTTCTCAGCAGCAGTTACTGACAGTGGCAGGGCTCGTTCACAATCTCACTGGCTGTGTAAAGGGACTGCTCTCTTCCTGCCTCCAGCAGTAAGGGAGGAGAATGGCCATGGTGCAACTTGCAGGTCATTTGATTCTCCTTAGAAAGGCCCAGGCTTGTTCTGTATCCATGTCTGGAGCAGGTTTGAGGAGTACAGAGCAATTCATGGCCTTCCTCTGTGCCCAGCAGCTGGATGGCTGGGGCCTTGGACTCATGTCAGAGAGCTTAAGCTGCTGAATTGTTTGGGTTTTGGTTGGTTTTTTGGTTGGTTTGTTGGTTGATTTTTTTTTTTACAGTCTCTGTCATCAATAGAACAATAATTATTCCAGATTTGAGCCTGGGAACTTGTTTGACTCCTGTATTTGGCAAATGCATGCTTTCTAGAGAAGTGTCCTTCTTGATTCAAAGATGCAACAAGGTCATGAACCTGCCACATGTCTTGGTACTGGGTTTCACTGGTTAGTGTCTGGCTCATCTAAAAAGGGCCTGCATTTGGGTTCCTCTTCCAGCTTTTAAATTCCTGTTGTGCCTTTTTTTCACTACATTAGAGCCCTTCAAGACACTATTTTCTCTTTGCAAAGATACTAAAGCTCTGTACCAGGCCACCTGTTACTGAGTCTTTCAAACCTTTTTAATTTCAACACTTTTTCTGGGCCTTAAATGTTTTCTGAGAGTTTCCTCTGTACCACCAGCTTTTTGGAAACTGCCAGCATCAAATGCAGGTTGTGTGCCAGTGTTGCCAGTCGTTGCACCAACCATCCCAGCCCACAGCCGAGTTGCCTGTTCTGCATCTAAGGAGCTCTCAGGCCATTCTTGCTACTGCATCATGCTGGGAGTTTATCTTGTCTGTCTGCTGCATTCTCCCTGCTCTTCTCAGAGTTGCTATTTTGTGGGCTCTTCAAGAATGTGCATTTCTCTGGGTGGCAACAGGCCCCTAAATTTGTTTCTGGAGGTATTCAGAAACTGCTTGTGTCCAGAGCAGAAGAACTTATATTTGTACAGGCACTTTGCAGCTTAGCCTTGCCAAGACCCTGCTCCCTAGGATGATGTCTGTCTCCAAACCTCACCTGGCTACCAGGCCACTAGAGCTCTCCACCTCCTGTTGCTGGCATTGGCAGCAGGAGCTACTGCTGCTACCACTGGCTGCTGTCTAATGCTCACTTGCCTTTCCTTCTCCCCAGGTGTATCCGTGACATCCAGTAATACAGGAGTGCCAGACATCTCGGGCTCTGTCTACTCCAAAACTCAGGTTAGTGTCTGATGTGTGCTCCAGGAAAGCGCCGCTTTGCTGGGGAGCGGAAGCCCAGCTCTGAGACAGCCTCCCTGGGCAATGAAGTCTCTTCCCCTTGGAGCAGCCAGCCAGGGAGAAGGGAATTGCTCAGCCTTTCCCAACTTTGAGCAATTCCAAGCCCAGAAAGAGCCGCAGGCAGAGACTCTGTCTGTTCTCTGCACTATGCACTGACTCCCAGGCCCAGGACTTGTAGAGCTGGGAAAGGGGCACACTGCCAGCCAGGGGCAGGGGAGCACTGCCCAGGTCCCAGCCCTTACTCCGCCATTGGCGTCTTCTCCTCAGCAATCCTTCGAGAAGCAGGGATTTCACACTGGAACCCCAGCAGCCTCCTTCAATCTGCCTTCAGCGCTGGGCAGCGGCGGCCCCATCAACCCTGCAACGGCAGCGGCATACCCCCCCACTCCTTTCATGCACATCCTGACCCCGCATCAGCAGCCCCACTCGCAGATCCTCCACCACCACCTGCAGCAGGATGGGCAGGTAAGCAACCCCCCAGCCCCCTGGCCCTTGCTGGGGTATCTCCTAGGGCTCTTGCTCCACCCCACCCCAGCCCCCCTCTCCCTCCCTCCCTCACGCCCTGCGGCGGACACACGCGGTGACACGCACATGCTCACACCTGCACATACACACAGGGCCGATAAGAGGATGAGGTGAGGAAGGCCCGGGGTGCACTCCACTGGGGGGTACTCGGCACAGCCCCCTTGCTGCCGGGCTGTACCAGGTACGGTCGGGTAGTGCCCCTTCACGCAGACATGCCTGGTACGCCCTGACCTCCCCCTTCCTCGGAGTGGTGGCTCCGCAGGCCGGCAGCGAAGGGGTTACTCGCCACAGCCATGACCCCACCGTAGCTTTCAGGTCTAACCTTGGATTTCTATTGTCATAGTTTGTCCCTTTATTTTACATATCCTGGTACTGCAACAGCTTCCATATTTGCAGATGATACTGTGCTGCCAACGCCAGCAGGAAGACCAGGTAATGAACCTCTCTGATAATGCATTGCACTTGCCCTGGGGTCTCCCCCTGCCCCTAAGGCCCCCCAGGCTCATGTAGCCCTTTCCTTCTCCCCCTGTGGCCCCGCCAGGCGAGGAGAGAGGCCCTCAGTCAGTTTGTGCACACATACACACCCGCGCGCACAGACACACACTCCCCTGCTCGAACCCTTCCCTCCCTTTTCCCCCCTCCCTGTTGGGCAGCAGCCCCTGCAGAGCTGCCAGGGCCTTTGCTGCCTGTGGTCCTGGCATGGTGCTGGTCTGGAGGAAGGTGCAGAGCGGAGGGGAGGGTCCTGTGGCTGCTGGGGCAGCAGATGGCATGGCACGAGGGCCACTGGCCAGCTGCTTGGTGCAGGAGGCAGCTGGTGCCCTGGTGCCGGTGGCCCCAGAGAGCTTGTGCTCGGCTGAGGCGGGTCAGCGAGCGCCAAGGAGCCGTAGCCCGCAGTGCCTGTGGTCTGGACCCGTCCTGTGGGGGACGGCAGTGCCTGTGGCTGAGCAGCCCGAGGCACGCCAGCATCGCCCTGCGGAGCAGGCTGGGGTTGGGACCCCAGAGACAGCGGCACCGGTTCCCCCACAATAACTCCCTGCTTCTCCTTCTCGCCCCCCGCCCCCTTCCTGCAGGGTGGCTCTGGGCAGCGCAGCCAAGGCAGCTCCATCCCCCAGAAATCCCAGGCCAACAAGTCTGCCTACAACAGCTACAGCTGGGGCGCCAACTGAGGCCGGGGTGGCCCTCGCCCACCACTTGCTTCCAGAAGAGAATCCCACCGAACCTGACGCCGAAGGATCCCGGGGAGGAGAGCGCCCTGCCACGGGGCAGCGTCCGGGCCCCGCAGCCCCTGGGCAGGGCAGGCCAGCAGGCGGCTCTGCGTTGTCTGTCTTCAGCCATCTTTCCTGTTGTATGTAATATAGAATTTGTATTTTTCTTTTTTTTTTTCTCCTCCCTGCCCCCTGCATTCAGATTCTGAACCGTTTGCCGTAGGGGCCTTTTTTGGTTTTTACTCCTTTCTCCCCTCTCCCACTACCTCCTGCTGCCCCAGAACCTCTCGGATCCAAAGGAGTGGAAGCTGCGAGTCGCCTACAGCAAACCCCCTTATTATTAGGAATAAGAACAGTAATTGATATGAACAGCATTGTAAGATGAATTAGTTGAAGTGGTTTTTTGTACCGTGTTCTAAATTTAATGGATAAATGTGTCTTGTATATAAAAACAAAAACCCCATGCCGTCCTGTAGTTCTCTCATTTCCTCGCCCACCCTCTGCTGCTCTCTGCCACCGGCCCAGAGGAGCCCTGGAGGGCACCCCCCAATTTTACATTCTCCATCTGCGCCCCCTCCCTCCCTGCGGGCCCCGAGCGCAGGTCCTGCCCCTCCTTGCACGCTGTAAGTATCTTCTGCTTCTGCTTTTGAGGGTTTTTTTGGTCTTTTTTTTTTTTCTATGCAGTCCAGATCTTGTATTTTTCAGTTTGAACTGGTCACTTCAACTGAAGCCCCCGTGCGGGTGATTTACTAAAGAGAATAAAGATCACAAAGTGATGTGTGTATTTTTTAATACCTACCTTCTCAGCCTGGTTCCGTATTTTTGGTGCAGGATGTGGAAGGCCCTGGGGCAAGGGTAAAGGTTGCAGCTCTACCCACTCCTCCCCAGCTTTTGATT